ATGCATGCAGAAACAAACACATGATGATAGACTTAGGAACGGGTAACAACAACAAAATTAACTGGGCAATGAACAATAAACAAGAATTAATAGACATCATCGAGTGCATCTACAGGGGCGCCAGGAAAGGTAATATATAATAATTAATATTTACAATAATAATATATAATAGTAGTATAATAATAGTATTCTATTTATAATAATAATAATGATAGTAATGATAATAATCTATAATAATAATAGTAATAATAATAATAGTTTATAATATTAATAACAATATTAATAATACTACTAATATAAAAATATTGTAATAGCAATAATAATAATAAAGAGAAAGAAACATATGCAGAGAAGACAAAATATATTTTTATGTAAATGAGCATTAACAAGAAAATAATACACATTATTAGGAGGCCCTTCTATTGTTTAAAACTCTTTAAAGATTAAAGCAATACTAATAATAATAATAATGTTATATATTATTTTGTTTTTAATATTGATATTTATAAATAATATATTTATTTGATTTTCTTTACAACTTTTTTTCTTTCTTCAGGACGCGGTCTCGTCATTTCGCCGAAAGATTATTCTACGAAATACCGCTACTAACAGTTTTTTTTCATTTGTTTATAATATAATAAATATAAAATTAATACTATTAATAAATATAAATATATTTATCTGCATCTTTATAGTTTATTTTATTAACAGCCTCTCTAACAGTCTTCCTCCCGCTGCTGTAGAGGGAGCAACTTTGTATATACTGCTGCGCTTGTCTTGTGCAGTATATACATAATCTTTTTAATTTATTTTCGTTTTTAAAGACAAATAAAGAATAAATAAAAAATAAAAGTCAAGAACTACAGAAAAAAATCTTATAAGGGTTTTTCATATATACCGTCTATGAATGAGTTTTTGTGTTTTGTTTGTAGCATTATTGTTTGTTTATATTGTGTGTAATTTATTTATTGAATTTATCTTTAATGTTTGTTTTTCTTTTATTATTTGTATAGCGTTGCACAAATTCGTTTACAGCAAACTTGCGCATACACCCGAGTAAATTCATATATCTTATCTTGCCGAATATTTCTCTCTCCTTCCAAGCCGTATCATGAAGACCAGCTAAACCCCAGAGACAGCCGACATATCCATTAGGGTCTGTTCCGTCTAATGAGAATTTATCATTAAAATAAATTGAATACTTTAGAGCTGTCTCTGCAGACAGCTGCCACTCTAAGATTTTCTTTACCCAGTACATGCGTAAGAACCCGTTCATTTTAGCTTCATTAACGAGTTGTAATTGAGCTGTATTCCAGAGAGCATCATGTGTCTTTGCTTCTTTTAATTCTTTCAAAGAATATATATATTCACGCTTATCTTTACTATGCTCCTCCAGTGTATGCTGAGCCCATGCAGGTGCTCCTTCTACTTTATCATATAATTCAGGATTATAAAATACAAAATTCTCTGCAAGCTCGCGTCGTACAACTAATTCCTCAATAAATGCTGTTCTACCTGCTGCTGCTGCTGCTCCTATCTTTGCTGCTGATCCCAGCTGCTGCACAGACAGCAGACATCTTTGTGCTGCTATATGACCAAAATGCAGCCAAGGAGACAAATTACTTTGTGCATTTAGAAGCGGATTGTTGCGTGATGCATAAGCAGATAGACGCTGAGGAGAACAAAACTCTTTTAAAGCTGCAGCAGCAGCAGCAGCACCAGGGATCCAGCTTGAGGGAAGCTGCACCGACTCATCCGCTCCCAGCTGCTGCTGCAGTTGCTGCAGCAGCTCCTCCTGTTCTTGCTGCAGCTGTTGCTGCTGCTGCATGAGCTTTGCCTGTTCCTCCTGCAGCTGCTGCTCCTGCTGCAGCAGCTCCGCCTGCTTCTTACTGTCCCGTTGCTGCAGCTGTTGTTTCTGCTTCTGCAGCTTCTCTTGCTGCTGCTGCAGCTCCTTTTGCTGCTGCTCCAGCAGCAGCTGCTGCCGTTGCTGCTGCTGCAACACGTTGCCACCGCTTCTTTCTAAACTGCTGCTGCTGCTGCTGCTGCTGCTGCTGCTGCTCTTGTAGGGGTGGCGCTGCACTGCTGGGAAGTCGCATGCAAATTCATTTAAAAAAGAAAAAACCCGAGGACGAAATGTGCGCGCAGAGTACTGCGAAAAAAATACAAAAAAACAGACAGAAAATATTAAAGTCAGGTTTCTAAGGGCATGCATATTATATATATATTATATTATATATATATTATATATTATATATTGTATTATATATTATACATTTATATTATATTTATATAATCATACACATACGTATGTATATATATATACATCTATATATATATATATATATAGATGTATATATTAATTTATTTGTATGCATATATACTGCAAAGACATTTGTGTGCATTTGTTGTGTGCATGCAGAACACAATAAATGAATACAAGTAAATAAAATAAACAAATAAACAATTAAAAATAAACAGATAAATAAATAAAAAGATAAAGAAGTAAATAAATAACAAAATACAATAGAATATAATAAATAAAAGTCTGCATAAAGAAATACAATAATATATCTTTTCATATATTTTTTTACTTCTTGTTTATTTGAAGACAGCCAAACAGGAACAATATTATGCGCGTCTACTTGAAAGAGAGGACAGCAAATCTTCTCTATGCATATTTGCTGCAGCTGCTGCACCAGTGCAGCAGCACGCCTGCAGCAGCAAACAAACTGCTGCACATATACATGCAAATTAACTTGCTGATGCATGCAGAAGCAAACAGCAGCAAGCAGCAGCAGCAAACAGCAGCAGCAGCAAGCAGCAGCAAGCAGCAACACGCTGCTGCATGCTGTTAGCTATATATCTTACTATTTCCTGCTGTCTACCCTATTATTATTATATTATTTTGCTGCTATCTGCCGGTCTATGTATTATTATTATTACTATAATTATATATTATTATTATTAGTAAATATTATTATAATTATTAGATATATTATTTGCTGGGTTTTTATTCGTTTGTCTTTCACCTAAGCGGCATTTGGTCGCAGACGACAACTGCAGGGTTTAGCTGCTCCAGTATCTTCTGCATCTTCGCTTTGTTTTCTGCTGCTGCAGCAGTAGAAGCAGCAGCAGCAGCAGCAGCACCAGGAGAAGGAGCAGCAGGTGTATTGTGTGTGTGTATTAGAGTAAAGCAGACGAAATGTATATCGACAGCAGCAAGACTTCGTGCAAATTGCTGCAGTGCCCGGAGATGAAACTGAAGATGTCTCTGAGTATTGCTAAAGCTGCAGCTATCTCCTAAGAAATGCAGCACAGTTAACGAAAGCTTCAGAGACATTGCAGCAGCCTGAAGGAGCAAAACAAAAAGATATTTAATAATAAAATATTATTCATAGAGATACTAGTTGTTATATGCTGGTCTTATTCTTATTATTATCGTCGTTGTTATTATTGTTATATATTCTTATTTATTATTAAATTATTATTATTAATATTGTTATTATGCTGTTTTGTCTTATTCTCTGGCTGACGGTACACCAGATGAGCTGCAACTCGTAATCAAAGCGTAAAAGAAGAAGAAGAAAAAGAAAAGAAAGAAGAAGAATAAGGATAATAATAATAATAAGAAAACAGCAATAACAACAATAATAACAACAATAATAACAACAAGTACAATAATAATAATAAGAATAAGAATAATAGTAATAAGAAAACAACAACAATAATAATAAGAACAATAATAATAAGAACAATAATAATATGAATATTAATAATATTAATAATAATAATAAGACAAAGAAGACAAAGAAGAAGACAAAGAAGAGAGAGAGGGTTAAAGAGAAGAATAATATACCTGTGCAAATATCATAGCCCAGTTGTCTTCTAAACGCATATCTCTTTGCAATACACAAACAACACTTTTTGCTGAAGGCTTGGGAAATGTTAATGAAGGCGTTAGACAGCGGACCCTTCGGCTGTCTACGCAACTCCTCAGCCATTTGCTGCTGCTTCCTCCTAAAGTCTTTGATGCTCCTGCTGCTGCTCCTGCTGCTCCTGCTGCTGCTGCTGCTCCTGATGCTCCTGCTGCTCCTGCTGCTGGTGCTGGCGTTGGTGCTACTGGTGCTGCTGGTGTTGCTGCTGGTGGTGCTTCTGCTGCTGCTGCTGGTGGTGCTTCTGTTGCTGGGGCTGGTGCTGCTGCTGGTGCTGCTGCTGCTGCTGCATCTTCTGCTGCTGCTGCTGCTGCTGCTGCTGTTGCTGAGCAGCTATTATTAAGAGGCGGTTGGTTTGTGTTATTGTGTGAAATAATTTTCTTAGGGGTTCGCGAAGGCCTTCTTAATTTTGTTTCATCAAAAGAAACACTTAAATGCAGCTTTCTTCTTTTTGAGCTTTTTGAGGGGTTGATTAATTTATTTTTATTTTGATTATTTGAATGCATTTCTGTCAAACACAATAAACCTCTGATGAAAAACCCGTGATGAATGACTTCAATTGCTATTCAAGAATAAATAAATAGAAATAATATATTTAAATAAATAAAGTCTGCTTCTTAATAAATAAAACAGAGTAAATATATCTATGTTTAGACTCTGCTTAAAGCCAACACACCAACCTCCGCCTCGCAGCGCTGCGGCGGTGTTATGAGAAAAAACAGCGGAGAAAAAGTATAAAATATTAATAAAATAAATTAAATTAATTAAATATTAATTTTTATTTTAAATATATCTATTGAAGCTGCATTTATAAAGGTATTGTATACCTACAGAGCTCCGAGCACGCCGTTCTATAAACAATATGTATTATTGCTTATTCTTTTATTTTCTTTATTATTTAGCCTTTAGTGAAGAATATACATAATAAAAATTGTTTATTCTTTTATTTATTCTTGCTTTCTTGTTCTGTCTCTACTCTTCAGCCTTCTTTGTCTTTGACCTTCTAACAGCTTCCTCAGATACTGCATTAACAAAGCAATAAAAAATATTTGTATGTCTTCGCCTTTAAACTTTGCTGTATATACAACAGGGGAAGCAGCCATTGAAACTACAATTCAAACATAACACATCGAATTCTCTCTGATTTATTCCTTACAATAATTATTCTTATATTTTAAGTGCAGGCTGAATACTGTGAGCCAACGAACTGCTGAAAAATAGAGTATGAATGCATCAAAAGAATAATCGGATGCACTTCGTTGTGGTGCTTCTCTTGCCTTGCAGCAGGAGCTGCAGCAGGAGCTGCAGCAGGAGCTGCAGCAGCAGAAGCTGCAACAGGAGCTGCAGCAGCAGAAGCAGCAGCAGCAGCTGCAGCAAGCGGCGTTGCAACTCTAGGGAGACTGCTTCCTCTCTTCCCCACACCTCCAGGATATTTGATGTTTGTTTGTAGGATTTGAATCCTCGGCCAACTTCAAAAAGATATATATTTTTCTGTTTTGTTGCAGACAGCCGCAATGCTGCACTTAAATCAAAGCCTCTCATTATACTTTGTACAACTACCTCCTCTTCTTATAAATGAAGTCCTTACGAAGCAAATGATGTAGACTTCTGCTGTTTCTCAGATGTTATCTGAGCATATATCTTCAATACAGCCGTCTTCATAGGACTACCACAGGAGCTTCTTTCTCGTCTCCTGCAGCGGCTCTGCAATATACTGCAGAGCCGCTGCAGTTAACGACAGCGCGGAGGGAGCCTCTTCGCTTCTCTCTTTTTCGAGAACAGCTTCCTCTCCGCGCAATCTAGAGAAAGTAAATGATGTTAGGAGAGCTGAAAGGTGCAGTCTGTCACAGACTTCCCTCACATAGACCTCAATACAATAATCTAACCGCTGCGCATGCATCTTCTACGGGGCCCCCCCAAATAGCATTCCTATGAATATCTCGTACATGTTCAACATACAAATTCATTATCATAAAATAGATATAGCCCACTGCTGAATTAAGGTCTCATTATACACCCTAACTATTGATTAGACTCTTCTTCTGTCTGTCCTATGAGAAGGCAGGAGATGAATACGTTGAAATGCAGTTGCAGAGAGTGCTCAAACGAATAGACTGGGAGGCTGCACATCTTTGCTTTTGCTTGAGATATCAGACCCGCTTGGTAGCCTGAGTTATGCTGTGCCGGCAACTCCTACACATTAATGAAAACTTATATTTGAACGGTGCTGCTTCGCTGTATAGTGGGTCCAGCGCCTTCCGCATATTGCTTTGCTTATTATGCTGGCGCAGATACTCTAAGTATTGCTTCCCTGGATTCTTATTTTATTATGCCCCTACCTACACTCGCGAATGTTGTGAGCTTCTTTATTGCTAAAGGAGGGCATGCGCAGCTGGGTTGGTTCCCCCGGTGTATTGACTGTCATATACTACTCCGACAGCCATTTATTTTCGTTTCTTAGTTTATTCTGAGCCCTAATCTCTGTAAACAAACCCATTTAAAAGTGTTTTCTTTATTTTAATCTAAGGCTATGCATGTTGTTTTGTCTCCCTTTGATGCTTACGTCTTTAGGGCTTAGGCTTACTTTCCTGTCTATAGAGAAGTGCTACGTTATAGTTTATTGAGAAATGAACCTGAGACTCAGTGTTTGAATTTCTGCTCTCTAAGAAAAGAAACATTTTGATGAAAAGTCTAATTGAGGGATCTTATGGATTTTGTCTGCAACAACTTGCTTGCTAACCAACCTGGGGATACACCTGAATAGAAACTCATCTCTTTAAAGCATTTCAAATAAATAATAAATATAAATAAATAAACATTATAGCCTTTGCTTAGATTGGGCCAACATTAACTTTGTCTTGCACATGCTACTCAAAGGGAATGACTTCGAAGCCCCCCCGGTGGTGCTGCATGCACTTATAAAACTGTAGGCAATTATTAAGTAGTTCCTTGACCTCAATTATTAGGCTGCATGCAAGTAGAAATATACATCGAGACTTCTTTAGACAGGACATACAACAACAAACACACCTGCTAGATATAATTATATTGAGCTCAGCCGTCTCTGGCTGTGAAGTGCTGCCCTTCCACAACAACTGTTTCTGTTTTAATGCTTTTTATAAGTTTATTTTGTATTTAAAATATCGATATTATTCGAATGTAGTCGCTGAAACAGTATGAGTTGTCTGCCCCACAGCACTTTGCTTTGTGCGGTGGAGAGTAAGAAGAGGTTTATATTATTTTCTTTGTTTGATTAAGTAACAGGTATTCTTAATTGAAATAAATACGCCTATGTTTCTGAATTTTAGTGCTAAAGAGGAGAGAAGACACACAGCAAAGGTTTTTCTTTTAATGTTTTTAGGGCTGGTGGCGGCGGTGCTGGGGCTGTATATGAAAAAGTGAAGTGGAAACCAGCGTATAATAGTCTTGTTTGTTTTCGTTCTGTGTTGTTTATCTGTTTTTTGCAGTTGTTTGCGTCTTCTGCATGCATAAAACGGGTTAAAACTCAGCAGACTTGCAATTATTTTCTTCAACTTTTTCTAACAGGGCTGAGGGTGCTGCACCCCACGGCGCAGAGGCGCCGCTTGGTTTTCGCTGTTTCCTAATGGCCTTTCTTCTCTTTAAACGTAATTTTTCTTCTTTTTCATGAATTAAACTTCGAAAATGCAGTCCAAATTCTGGGCCGCAGGGGCTGAGTCCTCGGAGTCGGAGTATACTTCAGAAAGCGATGATCAGGAGCAGGTGGTGTGTCGCCTGCCCCACTCCTGCCTTTCTTTTTCTTCTCCTTTCATCTTATTCTTTTTAAATATGTATTTACTTGCAATGAACGCCAATATTACCGTGTTTCCGCCGTCACATCGCTGTGTCTATGTCTGTTCGTCAGCACCGGGTGTCTGTACACCGCAGAGAGGCGTTTGGTGTTCTTGCTATGCAATGATATCATTTCAGTCATTTCTTTTAGGCTTCTACAGCTTCTATGATGTTCTCCTCTGTTGGTTTTCTCTGTGTTTTGCTGCCTCCTTTTCACACATTCTGTGTTTGTATGGGCTTTGCCGACTTTGCAGTTTCTGTACCGATGCATCGTAGATATATCTAGGATTTTTGCGTTGTTTTCTTTGAACCTATGAATAATTAGTGGCTTTCTTTTATCTATAGGGATATGTTGTTGTGCGCTTCGTGCTGCAGCAGGCGCAAAAGAAGGCGGTTGCACCGCCTTCTCGCTGGGCTGCAGCAGAAACATCTTCGAGCGATGATGAAGGCCGCGTAGTTAAAAGCCTCAAAGATCGCCGATGGGGCGCTATGAGGGAAGTCATTCGTCAAATGGAGAACCACATGAAAATTCTTGATTTCGCGGAGCTAGGAAAAGGTAAAGACATCATTTGCACTCTGCTAATGTCTCTCGTAGTCGACAACTGCTGCAATAGATGAATGCTTCTTCTCTGCGCTCTCTTGTTCTTTTTTATTTCTTTTTCGCCGCTCTCTCCTGAGCCAGATATGCTGTCATATATGCCCCTCTGAGGCCTTCTTTATCCTTTTTTTGCTGTTATTTTCCTATTCTTAACTCCATCTGCTTTGTTTTATTTATATCTGTGTGAATGTAATAACCCTGCAGACTATGAAACTCTTTTAAAGAGCTACAGCAAAGCCCATCAGGTTATTGAACAAGAAGGCGTGCCGAACTTTTTTATAAGAGCGTTGGTTGAGTTAGAAACGTTTATAGAGGAGCGCATGAAGGATAAAGAGAGCTTTAAAAAACTGTCTAGGCCGAAAGCATTAGCTCTAAATACCTTAAGAGCAAAAATAAGAAAAACTACAGAGCCGTGGGCGAACAGCATCACAGACTGCAAAGAAAACCCTGAAAAATTCGAAACGCAGTCCGAAGAATCAGATGAAGCTGATGTAAGGTTTTTAAATGCTTACATGTGTATGTAGATTATATGAAGATATATAAATATAAATATATATATAATATAAATGTATATATGTATGTACATATATATATTGTATGAATGTATGCATTATAGAAAGTATATCTATATATATATGTGAATGCATGCATATGTATATATTCATATATATATATATATGTATATCTGCATATAGATATTATATATAATAAGTGGGTTTGTTAATTTAATAAGAGTGTTTTGTTTTTTAAGATTTGTAGTTGGTATAAGATTTGCTGTATTTGTTTGTGTTGAGTGTAATGTTATTTAGAGTGTATTTGGAGTGTATATGCAGGATAAGCATATTTTTACTTTGTTTTTTTTGTATTTGTTGGGGTGCAGTCGGACAGTGATTTCAGTGAAGATGAAAGCAGCGAAGAAAGTGAAGAAAGCGAAGAAAGCAGCGGAGATTCGGATGAAGACGACGAAAAATTAAAGAAAAGCAAAGCAGAGGGCTCAGACGAAGACAGCGAATGGTCAGACTCAGAAGCAGATGAAGAAAGCCAAGGTAATATTCTTTTGCTTAGTTTTTTTATTTTATGTTGTTTTGTTCTCTTCTTCGTGTGCTAATTAAACTCTGTTGATATTCTTTTGCTTAGTTTTATTATTTTATTGCTTTGTCTTGTTCTTCATATTCTTTTTGAACTCTATTAGTTATTGTTGTGTAATTAATAATAATAATATCTTCTATTATTATTGTTGCTATTGTTGTTATAATGCATTATTATGTATAGTATATGGAATTGCTATTAGAGTAAAAAAGTATAAAATTTAATATTTTTAAAGACAATAAGGCTTCAGTTTAAACGAGACGTTGCTTTTATTAGTGTGTGTGTGTGTTTTTTTTCTGTTTTGTTTGGGTGATTGGGACAGCGCAGATGATGAATTTGATTAAATAGTATATTATATTGTTGTTTTGTTTGTCTGTTTGTTTTATTTGCATGCAGGAGAAGAAGGAGATCGTCAGAAAGATGCAATAGCGAAGTGGGGTGTAAGAGAAGAAGGCGAACGCAAAAGAAGCAAATCAACAAAGAAGAAGAGCTCATCTAAAGGAGCAGCAAAGACAGCAGCAAAAGAAGCAGCAGCAAGTACAGCAGAAGCAGGTTTTTCAAGCAAAGATATGGAGCATCTCTTTGATAGCACAGATATAAATGAAGAAGTCATCGCAAAAAGAGTACAGATGGTTGTTGAAAGAAGAGGAAGAAGAGGCGTTGATAGAATGGAGCAGATGAGAATATTAAAGAAACTAGCAGAGCTTGCAGAAACTGTTAGCCCTCAGTCTCATTTAGAAGTCTTAGGACATCTTATAAGTGCAGAGTTTGATACAACCTCGGGTGTATTTACAAGTCTTCCGCTTCATATATGGATGGAGACATTTGCTGCAGTTAAGCTGCTGCTTTCAATTATGCAGCAGCACAGCGGCGCTTACTTAGTACCTCTAGCAGGATTAGCAGATTCATCTACACCTGAAGAAATACAGCAAATATCGGCTTCAATTCTAACATCTTTTGTTGAAAGGCTTGATGACGATCTTATGAAGTCGCTGCAATCTACAGATATACACTCCGATGAATATAAAGAAAGATTAGGAAAAAGCATTGATATTCTCGCTTTACTCTGGCGTACTTTCTGCTTCTTAGATGAACGAGGATTCAAAACACAGGCCGCCACAGTCGCACTTAAAGTTAATGAGCATATGCATTATAAGTGAGTCTCTCTAGACTTCCTTTATTCACACCTCTGCATACACCCCAAATATATATATTTATATTTATGTATATATATAGCATTTATAGTATGTATGCATGCATTGCGTGGGTGTATATACATATATATATATATATACATATATATATGTATATATATATATATATATATATATATGCTTTTGCTTTGCATGTTTTCATAGATGCATAGATGTGTGCATCCCTTGGTTTAACATAAATAAAGAAATAAACAACCACATAACAACCTAACAAACAAACTAAACAAACAACAAGCAACAAACAACAATCAAACAAATAATCTAAATAAAGAGTATTTGCGTTGTGCATGCAGACCTGACGCAATAGCGATAAAGATGTGGGATGTGCTGCGCAAAGAACTGCCCGAAGAATTATGCGTTGATTTGCCCGGCCCAAATTTAGCCCCAACCGCCTTCATCGAAAAACTCACGCGATATGTCTTCACACATTGTACGTATATAATATAATATATATATAATATTATATATAATATGCAATATAATATAAAATATATAATATGTATAATATGTAATATGTATAATATGTATAATATGTATAGTATGTATAATATGTATAATATATAATATGTATAATATATAATGTGTAATATATATAATATGTATAATATATAATATGTATAATATATAATATGTATAATATGTATAATATGTATAATATATAATATATAATGTGTAATTTATGTAGACGAAGCCGGCAAAGAAAACCACTCTGAAGAATAATAATACTAAATAAGAATACAAATACAAAATAATAATAATAATTAATAACAATAATAATAAAGAGTATAAGAATAAGCAGCATTAATGTATGTGTTATGTTGTTGTGATGTGCAGCTAGAAGCCAGCGAGAGAAGATAAGGGCTTTGTTGCATGTGTCTTATAGCAAGAGTTTGCATGAAGATTATTATCAAGCTCGAGATTTAATGCATACACCAAATATACAAGAGCTAGCAATGCAGACAGATATATCTACGCAGATATTATACAATAGAAATCTTGTTCAACTGGGTTTATGTGCATTTCGGAACGGGTTAATACAAGATGCACATGCATGCTTATCTCAGATATGTCCAAAGCATAAAGAATTGCTTGCTCAAGGTCTCTCTAATCTTAAAAATATTGAACGAACACAAGAACAAGAAAGAGCTGAAAAAAGAAGGCTGCTGCCTTACCACATGCATATCAGCATGGAGCTCATAGAATGCGTTCATAATATGTACGTCTTCTATATACATACATACACACCGTCTAGGGTTTAGGGTTTAGGGTTTAGGGTTTAGGGTTTACACGCTTCGACTTCAAAGGGTAGCCTGTTGTTTATCCTCGGGTTGCGGATTTAGGGTTTAGGGTTTTAGGGTATAGGCTTTATATGTATAATGCGTTATTAATTGTTTGTTATTCTCTCTGCCTATATATATATATATATATTTGTATATTGCCTCTAATATGTATGACTACGACATGTTTGTGTATATATTCTTTTAAAACCTTAGAGAAGAACGTACATACATATATGTATATATATAAATA